ATCAGAGGGATTAATAAATAACAACCTGGGATATATGGGAACAAACAGAAATTTTGTTTTTACTAATATCAAATAACTCAGGATATTATTTATTAATTAAACTGATCGATTTTAGGATCAAAAGTTATACAGATATGACTTACAATCATCGCTTGAACAAAGCAGAAACCATAAGGAGCATTTTCCAATTCATTTTTCCATATCAAGCTAAGAATTATATTTAGAGAAAAGATTGTTACGGAACATGAATATAATGCGATCAAATAGTTTTTTTTGGATCGATATAAAAACAGAGAAACGTATATTGAACAGAATAGTGAAAGAAATAGCAGGATATATAGAATGGTTACTGTAGTTGAATGCATTGTCGTATTAATTGCTAACAAAGGGAAATTTTTAAAGGCTTAAAAAAAAAAAAAAGATAATGAAAGAACTTAGGTAGGTAATTGAATTAATTCGAGCAAAAAAGCTACAGAAACATTCTTTAAAAGCAGTTATTTAAATGGTTTTTTTTTTTTGTTTTAAAGTTTAAACCAATAAAGCATACAGTTATCTTTTAAGTAATAACTATATTTCTATAGAAGAGTTTGGTCAATTATTAAATTTAATGTTTCCATTTTGAACTTAGTAAATACTTGACATTTTTAAAATTAATAAGCTAATTTATTCTATTCATTCTATAAATTCTAATATTTCTCTAATTTTTTATAGGCCGTGCCGCTTATGAAGTATATAAACACATGGATCTACTTAGGTCTAATTCCTCTAATTCCAATTCCTCTGCTGAAGCGATCACTCAAGATAGTACTTTTCAGCGACCTAAATTTTCTAAAGATCCTTTTTCTAAACAAAGTAAATCTTATAGTTTAACAAAAGCTGCTGCTATTCGAATGGTCACCTTTTCTCTTTTATTTGCAATTGTCAATTTTTTTGCTTGTATAACTAGCTTTTTAGCAATTTTTAAAGGAGTAAGTATAGATAAAGAACCTTCTAGTGTTGATTGGGTTGGTGCGTCTCTTGGAATTTTTATATTTATTATTTTTGGCTGGCCACATAATTTCCAAAAAGCTAAGCAGATTTGGTTAAAGGGTTAAATAAATAGATTGGTTATATCTATTGGTTTATATCCTTTTATGTATATATGTACCTTCTCTATACACTTTGGGTGGGGTTATTACTATTGCTTTTTTTTTCACAATAAATAAATTT